TAACAGAGGCAGAGGAGTTGGAGAAGTATATCACCATTAGAGAAGAGATGTATAAGAAAGCTAAAGAGTTCGATTCTAAGATCATTAGTTTTGAAACAGCTATTAGGAGGCCGTACTTTCATGTGCGGCCCCTCAATGTTGCAGAGCTTGAAAATTGGAACAACTACCTAGACTTTATAGAAAGGGAAGGTGACTTTAACAAGGTATTTTCAGTGAGTTTGGTTTCCTTTTTTGATTTTATGGCCTGTAGTTTTTAGCTATCCTGCTTGTAATACAGTAACTCACAGTTAAGTAATATTTGCTGCATCATATGCTTTATTGGCTAAATCGTTGGATGAAGCAACTTTTAAAACGGGAATTTGAACTGAGACTAAAGCATGGGCCTTCGATTTGGTTTCTTCGAGGCTAAGTATTTCAAACCCTCATTTGTCAGTGCACGTTCTAGGTTCATGATGTGTTTGTTAGTAAATTTTATTATTTTTAAAGTTCCAATGTTATGCATGCAGGTATCTTCTTATCTTCCTAACCATCTGTCTGTCAGGCAAGGAGGGTCCCTCCTTTCCTATTTGAGGGGCCTCTCTGTTCTACTAATGGAGTATTTCTTGTGCATATCTCTTTTGTGTTTTGTTTTATCCATTGGTTATTATTGTGGTGTATGAATGCACCTTTTTGTAATTAGGTTTCTGTTTTTGTGAATCAGGTGGTCAAGTTATATGAAAGATGCCTAATTGCTTGCGCTAATTATCCTGAATACTGGATTAGATATGTTCTTTGTATGGAAGCCGTTGGAAGTTTGGATATTGCCAATAATGCTCTTGCTCGTGCAACCCAGGTCTTTGTGAAGGTTGGTCCTTGTAATTTATCTTCTTGTATGCTATCAACTTTGACATCTAGAGCTAAGAGATGAATGAGCTTCTATAACTGTTTATTTTGAAAGTAATGATAATAAAAAAAAACCACGCCTTGCTTTTTTCTCATCTATCTGGAATACATGTAAGTAGTTTGGTTAGTGGAAAAAAAGAAAAAGAAATCTAGTTAAAGGGATAGATTGTGTCGAGAATTGAAGTCCTAAGGTAGTTGAAATTTGGAAGTTGTCTTTGAGATGGTTATGAAGTCCACTGTTGTGCATGAATTCCCCAAGTTTCTTTGTCTAGAACGGAGTTTATATTGACCTGTCATAGTTACAAACATGAGTGTGAACTTATATTTCAAGTGTTGAAACTGTTGTAGATTATTGGATATTGAACTCTCAAAAGGAGTTCTCTGTTATGTTTGTAACCCTCACCTTTCCTGGATGAGGAACGGGCAATCTGTTTACACCCCACCCCACCCCCCCAAACAGATAGATAACAGGGACCTTTTTGTTTCAGATTATCAGCCTTGCACATGGGTTGCACTTGTCTTATATTGAATTTGAGGGTGTATTACCATATGCTGATTTAAGTAGAGTAATGTGTGCAGTTGATATTGCTATATGAACTACATTTTGGAGCTCGCCTCCCTCATGTTATCACTTGATTGAGGAATATTTCTTTTTACCTGGGAATGTCTAATGTATGACTTGTTTGTCTTGAAATGGCAGAGAAAACCAGAGATTCACCTTTTTGCTGGTCGGTTCAAAGAGCAGAGTGGGGATATACCTGGTGCTCAGGCTGCCTATCAACTTGTACATTCTGAAATTTCACCCGGGCTTCTTGAAGCAATCGTTAAGCATGCAAACATGGAACACCGCTTGGTGAGATGATATAAACAAGTTGAACCTTACCAGTTTCCTTACACATGTTGCATGTTTGAACCTGATTGTCTCTTTATTTTTCACAGGGAAATGTGGAAGCTGCCTACTCTTTATACGAACAGGCCATTGCCATTGAAAAAGGAAAAGAGCATTCACAGACATTACCCATGTTGTTTGCTCAGTACTCTCGGTTCACATACCTGGTAGGTTGTTAGTTAATGTCTGTCTTTTTTATGGATTACTGCCGAAATTACTTAACTTAATTCAAGTGAACTAGATGTCCTTTTATGATATGCATCCTTGAATTTTTTGTGTCATTTTAGGATATGCATCTGTGAACTAAATGTTTTCGCATCTCGTTGCTTTTTCTTTTCATTTGTTCCTAGGTATCTTTGAATGCTGAAAAAGCTAGAGAAATTGTAGTTGAAGCGCTTGAGCATGTACAGTTATCAAAACCACTACTTGAGGTTCTCTCTCTCTCTCTCTCTGCATAATATATATGTATTCCATTTTCTCTCTTAGAAAATAAACTAATTTCACGTTTTTCTTTAATTCTACTTGCAGGCTCTGATACATTTTGAGTCAATTCAGCCATTGCCAAAGAAAATTGATTATTTAGATTCGTTGGTTGTGAAGTTCATAGAGCCCAGCTCAGAAAACCCCAATTTCGCGAGTGTTACCGACAGAGAAGAGCTATCTAGTATCTATTTGGAGGTACATATATTTTATGTTTTCTTGTAAGATGAATATTCAAAGAGGTGTTTATATATAAAACCGTACTCCTTGAGTTACATGATTTTTGACCGGATCCTCTCTCTCATACTCACACATTACACTCTTGAAACTCAAGGGAATATGTAAAGTGCCTGAGAGTTTCTATGTTGGTCAAGCTCGGGAGGTTAATATTGACCCAGTTTTTTGTTAACTGGAGGAGTCTCTGATGTTTTTGTTCTTGAGGAGTAGTAGACTTCCTCCGGAAGTGGAAAGGTTTGAGGTTTGTTCTGCTTTGTGAGTTTTATTTGGAAGTCTTGTGGTGCTTTATTACTACCTGAGTGCATGTGATGTTCAGCCAGTGATGAAATATCTTAGTTGTTTCTTTAATATCTTAATTTCCATTTGTCCTTTGTGCCTTGGAACACAAATTTTCTGTTTCTCTTGGATTTTGGCCTAAAATTCTGATGTGCTTGGAAATGATTTTGCAGTTTATTAATCTCTTTGGAGATGCACAGTCTATAAAGAAGGCCGAGGATCGCCATGCCAAGCTCTTCTTACCTCATAGGAGCAGCATGTCAGAGAAAAAACGTCAAGCTGAGGACTTTTTATCTTCCGACAAAGTAAAGATGGCAAAGTCTTACTCTGGCGTTCCTTCGCCTGCCCAGTCTATCATGGGAGCATACCCAAGTGCACAAAGCCAGTGGCCAGCTGGTTATGGTGTACAGCCGCAAGCTTGGCCACCAGCTACGCAAGCTACACAGGGACAACAGTGGACCCCTGGTTATACTCAACAGGTAGTTTTCTGACGTGATGCATTTAGTAGGGAGAGATATCTCCAGATAGCAATTTGGCTTCAAAATTGGATTTGGTCCTCATTTCAATTAAAAAAAAATTATTTATCTGATCTGTTTATTCAAATTTTCTTTTAATAGCCATACAATGCATATGGTGGTTATGGAAGTGGCTATGCCAATCCACAAATGCCCGCAACGACGCCACAAACTGCTGCTTATGGTGCTTATCCCTCTACATATCCTGCTCAGGTATACAGCACATTATCGATATATTTTAATTTGTTTTTTGTTTTTTTTTTCCGTTTTCTTTTGCTTTCCTTTCTTCTTTGTCCCTCCCGTATGTTTTCTGAGCTGATAGTTTAATTACAATTTCAGCAGGCCTTCCCTCCACAAAGTTACGCACAGCCAACCGTGGCAGTAGCAGCGGCAGCTACAGCACCAGCTCCGCAACCTGCTGCAGTGCCTCAGGCGTATTATGGGACTTACTACTGAGTTGGCAGGACTAGCCTGCGATATTTTGCCCATGTGATCTAATTTTCTCCTTTTCTTACAGAACCCAATCGACACAAGTTTTTTGTTGGGGGAACATTGGTTTGTAGCTAACAAAGATTTTTGAAGAGACGGGAATTAGTGATCAGTTCTAGTCGTGTATGGCAAATGTATTTTAGATAATTATTTTCAAACATTTTTACGCGTAGAAATTTCTTGATCTTCAACAATGCCATTTATTTGTTGCGTACTGAAAGCCTACAAATTTTCTGATCCATCGTTCCTCCAACTTCAAGGTAGACAAAATGGTTCTAACATGTGGGGTGTCATTTCATTTAAATAAATTAGAAAAAAGCTAGGAAAGGAATCTTCAAAACCAACAGTCTTTCCTTGTTGAAAGCAAATTTCTATTTACCTTCTTGTTTTAGCTTTTTGTGGGCCGGTAAATATCTCTTTGCCTTATTTAGGTAGTGGAAAATCAGACCTGCCCAACTCCTCGCGTTATGGGGTGATTGACAGTGACGCTTTGGGAATCAGTTCCTCCATTAACATTCCATCCATGTTCTGTGTCTGGCAATAGCCAATCCAAACACATGACTTGAACCCTAATTGTCAAACTACACCGTACCTCTCCTTCCTACGAGATTGCACTCGTACTCTTCTGAGACTCAAAGGCAGGAAACTAGGATACCATGACCTTTGCCCCACGTTAGCAAATCCGACCAAAAGATCAAGTGGATCATCTCTTCATATGCTCGAGAAATGCTTTTATATTTTCGTTTCGTTGTCCACATCCCTTCCCTCTTTTGATAGGTGATGTAAGGATAGAGACGGAGAAAAACAACAATGAAACAAGGATATGAAAGTTTTTCTCCATATGCTCATCCACAACTACTTTCTCGCGACACAATAAGAACTTGATTTTTTTATTATAGACAGTTATTGAACAGTTGAAATGAAATATGCATTAAAAAATCTGAAGTATAAATAAAAGGAAAATGCTAGAGAGACCAACTTTAGACACCAACTTGTGTACCATCTCTCTAATAGAACGCGAGACTCATTATATTAGTAGGTTTCACCTCTATTAGAAAAATGGTATACAAGTTAGTATCTAAAGTTGATCTCTCTAGCATGACCCTAAATAAAAACTTGTGCTACGTGTTTTCATTCGAATATCAGCCGTCCATTTAATAAAATGAAACGCTGAGATTACTTGATATATTGGTTGGACACCTTTCCCTTGGTTATTTTGTACCTTTACGCAAGCTTTCCTGGGTTTTGATGAGCGGTTGCGATTCGAAGTAATCCAACGGCTGTGATCTTCTGCAGCAAAACCCTTTAAAATTAGCGAATCGGAGTCTCATAAGCCAAAGCCGGAAGCAAGCAAAAGCAGAAAGAAGCAGAGGCAGAACCCTTTGGAGTATACAAAGCCCACTCTCTCTGTCTCTCTCTCGCGCTCTCGACGCTAAGCTCTGTATCGTTTCCTTGGTTTTGAAGATTTCTTGGCGGTCTGAGCTTCTGGTACTTTCGAACGACGAATCCCAAGGTGCCGTAAAACCTTGGGTTTAGGGTTTGGGATATATAATTGGCTTGTGTGTGGATCTGTGACCGATCGATCAGAGTGTAGACGACAGTGAGTTAGGGTTTCGTAGAGTATAACACGGAAGTATTTCACCGTCGCTGCATGCGTTTGTGTTGAGAGAGGAGGCAATGGCAAGTTCTTATCCTGGAGCTGTTAGTGCTGTTCAGGTCAAGATTCAATTCCTGCAACCTTCAAGTGTATATTTATATTTTTATGTATAGATTTAGGGTTGCGTATGTGTGTAATGTGTGATTTGGGGTTCTTGCAGGTGGGGTCGTACTTTGTGGGGCAGTACTATCAGGTTCTTCAAAAGCAACCAGATGTTGTTCATCAGTTCTACTCAGAAGGAAGTTCCATTATCCATGTCGATGGTGATTCCACAGATTCTGCTTCCAGTATAGTGGTAATTGTTGCCTTTCTTGGTTCAGTTCTTTTTATACAGTTTGATAAATGAAATCGACATGCGAATCGATCTTTTTTTATTGTTAATTACTTATTTCTTTGCATTGTGCTTTTAGTTCGAGTAAAAAGCTCTATCCCATTCACCAACCAAGACCAAGAAAGGTCACTTTATATGGATTGAGTTGTTGGAATTGTTATCACCTTAGGAATTTAAGATATTGTGTCTGTGATATAATTACGAGCTCAAGATGAATGTCTTTGATTTAGCCTTACATTGTTTTCAGGGAAGCAAATTTATATGTAATACCTGCCTTTTTTTTTGGCTTTATCTTACTTGTGATTTCTATGTTTGTTATATGTTCCTTGTATGTCTTTTGTCTCAATTTTTTTGAGTGTTCATGCATAACCTTTTCCATACAGACGAGCATGTCTGTCATTTGTATTCCTAAGTTGATTTGTTTGAGACCCTTGTGCTGTTTTTTGCGCCCCTGTTAAGTCATTGGTTCATTAGATATCTTTTTCTTCTGCAGCAAATTCATACACACATACTGTCACTACATTTTACTTCAATTGAGGTCAAGACAATCAATTCTATTGATTCTTGGAATGGAGGTATTCTTGTGATGGTTTCTGGTTCTGTTAAAACAAGGGACTCCACTGTAAAGAGGAAATTTGTCCAGACCTTCTTTCTGGCTCCTCAGGACAAAGGTTACTTTGTTCTCAACGATATCTTTCAGTACGTTGAAGATGGAGTTGTTTTACAACATCCTGCACCCATACAGTCAGAAGGCAGATATGATGTGCAACTGAGTGCCTCTAGCCCTCTTCCAGAGCCACCAGGTATTGTGACACTGTACTGATTTCATCTATTAGTTGCTATATTGGAATTTCTTTTTACTTATTGAGCTACTTTTGGCATGGGGTTCCCATGTGTGGACATTTTCTTTATAAATATCAGAGTACTATGCTTTTGAGCATGTAATGATTTTGATAATGATTCTATTTTCTTTTACATTTTCTATTTACCCTTGGTAAGTCAAGATAATATTACTATTAGACTTGGGTAAGCCCTTTTATGCAGCTGTGTGCTTGTGCTGCTTGAATATTCCTTTTTCTGGCTGTTTATTGTGGAAGGTATGCATGCATGTATCATCCTTATGAATTAGAGAAGTGCTCTCTATGCATCATTGCAAAGATCTCAACGATTAGTTTGTGGGAGATATTTTGGTGTGTATGTATTGGATATAACTCGGTGTTTTTGCAGTTTCTGACTATGTTTTCGAGGAAGAGGCAAGGGAGTACATGAACTCTGTTGATATAGAAGATGATCCAGTTGACAAGTATAGTCTCCCAGAGCAACAGGTGCAGCAAGATTATGAGACTGAAGTTGTGGTGGAGGAAACTCCTGCAGAGGAAACATATGCTTCATTTCAAAGCGTGGTGAACACTGTTCAAGAAACACCTGCTGTTTCTGTAGAGGAACCGGTGGGAGAGCCTGAAAAGAAAACTTATGCTTCTATAGTATGTGCCTAAACCCATGACTCTTGCTACTTCGGTGTGAGAATGTGTTTATTTCCCCATTTGTGCCTTTGTGTGTGTTTTTTTGTGTTTTGGCAGGCATTGGCTTTGACTATATTGCTATTGTGCATCAATCTTATATTCAATTATCTATCTTCTCATATTTTGTTGAGCATGCTTTAATAACTTATGTTTTACTGTTTTGTTGTATATGACTGGAAAATAATAGTTGCGAGTTGCTAAAGGGCCATCTGCACCAGCAATAACTCCACAACCTTATTCCAGAAGTGCTCAAGCTCCTTCAGAATGGAATTACACGCCTCAGCCCACTGTTGAACAATCCAACTCTGCTCTATCGTTTGTGCCTGAGTCTGGGGCAGAAGCAGCAGAGGAAGGTTACGCGCTAGAGGAAGAAGGTGGTTTGTTTTTGAGCCATGTTGTAGTGCTTAATGACCTCAGAAACTAAATTATCCATTGTTACTTTTTTTTACCTTGCTGCTTGTTACTTCTGGTTATAATGAGGAATATCTGAGAGATTCTTTGCTTTTTATCGGAATTGAACCGATGCAAAGACCATGTCATTAATTTCTATTATGAATTGTATGGCAAAGATTCTCGATATGGTTTTTGAAATAAGAGCATGCATGACTAATTTAGGAATGAAAGTTTAGTTTCTTACGTATGACGTGTTGTAGTTTTATGAATTGGGGATTTACTGCTGTATGCTTGAGACTTGGTGAAGGTGAAGGTTGGACCATTGAATTTAACTTAGTATAAGCATTTGTAAGTTGAACCTCATTTTAAATAATTGTTCCAGGTGAATTGAAATCCGTCTATGTAAGAAACTTGCCTCCTACGGTTACTGAAGATGAGATCGAGCAGGAGTTTAAGAACTTTGGTCAAATTAAACCTGATGGGGTCTTTGTTAGGGCTCGCAAGGTGAGTTTGTCTCTCTACTTAGTGTCACTATATATGAACTTGATAGGAGCTAAAGTAGAAATTGGTGGATGCAGGAAATTGGAGTTTGCTATGCTTTTGTTGAATTTGAAGACCTTGTTGGCGTTCACAATGCACTCAAGGTTTGAATTTTTATATTATTAAATTGATGTATTATTTGCTTTCACTTTTCAATATTATGGATTAAGGCAAGTTTCCTGTTATTTGATGGAAGTACTCTCAGTTTTCATATATGTTTATTGGATCTATTCAGGATCCTTGGGTCTTCTTGAATTTGTCTTTGGCCATTCATTTATTTAGTGGGTTTAAACTTTCCATATCTTGCACTCTTGTCGACATTGGGGATCTGTCTGCCTTTGTATATAATTGCTTATATATTGGATTGTGCTTCTTGTTTGTAATTTTATGCTTGCATATGTCTGGGGTTCAGTGCAATTTTTGGGTTGATTGGTTGGAGAGAAATGGTAGAATTTTTTAATGCAATGGATTTCTTGTGGGACATGGTCAGTTATTGGCAATTGCTGTGGACTTTGGTGTCTAGAAAATTTAGAGATACTCCATTCTTTTATAATTAATGTGGATTGGGTGGCTGTTGTATCTTTGGTCAGTTCCCTTTATTAGACATTTGTATTTCATGTGGTCCTTGGTGTTATTTTACTGTTTAGTTTTGATTGTAGAGGCTTTGTGGTATATGTGATGGATTGCTGGTCCATTGATGCTGTATTTTAATGTTTGGCGCATTTTATTAAACTTTATCAAGCTTCTTGTTAACATTACTCTTATACCGTGCTCTGTAGTCTCTATATATTTTGCATGGCCTGAATGTGTGTTTTTCCTTGTAGGCATCTCCGATTCAGTTGGCTGGAAGGCAAGTCTACATTGAGGAGCGGAGACCAAACAGCACTGGAGCTGCTCGAGGAAGTATGTGCCTAATTTCATTATTTTTTTTCATTAACGTCTTTGATGTAGCAACGTGTTTTCAGATGATGCCTATAGGATTTAATCTTTATAATAGATTTATGGGATGTGGGGTGGAGTCTTGGAGATGGCCCTTATGGTTATGTTTTGTCCTTACTGAGGTGATTTTGTGGATATGAATGTGATGGTGTTGGCAGCTGCTACATGGAAGTGGTGCTGCCTTCACAAATCTTAGAATATTTTGGTGGTAGAGACGTGCCTTTTCTCAATTTCAGTCTCAATCAATTTTGCTTTGCAATGTTCCTTCTTTTTGTTCTGAAATGTCATTCAGAAGCATTAATAGGATTGCATATAATCTACTTACTGCAGTACTTCCATGATGTATTAAGTGCTTTCACTAGTTTCAAGGTTTTCCATGGAACCAAATCATTGTCTTTCATGAGTTCAGTTCAGAAAATGTTTTAGTACGTTTATAGGAATGATGCTTAGTGAAGTTAATTGGCATAACCAGCACTTAGAATGTGATATACCGAATTATTAAGCAATAGTTTTCAGGTTTCATTACATGTTTTGGGTAGCAAAATATACTGCTGTTTTATAGTGGAGGTAAAATGTTAATTTGCTGAACTTATGGTCTCCTTACTTGCAGGAGGAAGGGGGAGAGGCAGAGGCAGTTACCAACCTGAAGCCACAAGGGGGCGTTTTGGTGGCCGGAGTTCAGGCAGGGGTAGTTACCAGGACGGTGGAGATTACAGCAGAGCGAGAGGCAATGGTTTCCAACAGCGTGGCACACGATAAGAGGAAGGATTTTAGAAGCACACAGGCAGAAGATCAAGGGAAACATTATCTGTGTTTGAAAGCTTTTCGAGATGCAGAAGATTCCCAGTCTAATATTTCCTCTAGATGGTTTCATGAAATTGTATTTGTACTTTTCAATGTCACTTACATGAAAGTTTATTTGGACTTAAGTCGACGGTTTATGCTTACAAGTTTTCTCTCCCCTTGGATGGTTTTTATCATGCAATTCAAGCGGGGAATTTTGGGCCTTTCAAGCCCCAAGTTGTGAGGAAATGTGATAAGATGTTTGTTTCAAGTTTTCTATATGAAGCCTTTCAGTTTTTCATGATTCTCATACGTTTTTTACGTTTAAGTTTTATTCTTATTATTGCTTTAGCCTTCATCACCAGAGAAAGGGGAAAAAGTTGAGACCATTCATCTCAGGAAAAAATGTTTTATGCATAGGCCATGAACATTCTTCATGAAGTTCTGAATCATTGTTTCCTACAAAGATCATGTACTGAAAATTCCTCTTTAAATACATGACCACAATCGCAAATGTATCACCTATATAGATTTACATCCCATAGTCACCGTCATTACAAAGCTATCAAAATTTTCTTAGGCACTTGCTGAAGTTATAATTCCTTCGTGACGATATGACGGCATGGCATGAAGATCGTTCCCTGCCGCATAAGCTTCATCTTCATCTTCGTCTTCCTCTGTTTCCCAGAGGAAATTAGCATATGCCGCATGGACATGGCTGAAAATCAAGAAGTAAAAAATTATGTCAAACTAAACAGGGCTTTCAAAATCTCAAAACATGTTTGATGTACACAAAAATTTGCGTACCTGTCTTGAGGTGCAGCTTGAACTGCTCGTTCATAATAGCTCAGGGCTCTATCTTGGTCGTGGTGCAGCTCCCATACTATATTAGCATATTGAGCCAAAACTTCACCATCTTTAGGGTCTGCTAGGATGGCTCGAGAGTAATATTCCTCTGCTCCATGAAGGTCTCTCTTGGTCTGAAAACAAACATGCAATTTGAGCACACTCACAAAGATAAAAAAAGGAACAAGTCAAAAATACAAATTTATTGAAGCAGAAGAGGCTCACCTGATACAAAAATTGAGCATAATTTCCAAGAAACAAAGGGTTGCCTGGATTTTCCTCAACCAGCTTCTCGTAATGCCCCTCAGCCCCATGGTTGTCTCCTCCATCATCACCAGATCCTTCCCAATTAACCTCTCCTCTACCGCGGCTACCCCCGCCGCCGCCGCCGCGGCCTCCACCAATCCCAAGCCCCTTTGCAAGATGCATTTCTCGACTCACAAGCTCTCTTTTCTCTTCAAAACCTGCACTCCATATTTTGTCCAAAAATTTCACATCCTGAGTTAAGCTCATGTTCTTCACCTTCTCCTCTAAACCAACATTTTCACCTTCCATGGCCACAACTCTCTCCACATTCTCCTCAAACTCTTCTTCCTCATCCTCATATTCTATATCACTATCTTCTTCAACATCTGAGTTATGAAGTGAAAAAGATGGGATAGTTTGCAGCATCGTGCACTTGAATCTTCCAGGAAAAATCTTGGGTGGTTTTAAGTCAGAGACATGATCTTCATTTTGGTCACAAGAAGCATAGGCCAGTAGTCCTTCCAGGTTCCCATCAGACTGAGCCCTTCGAAACCCGTAGGACGAAAACCGGTCAGAATCAACGGAGGGAGAGATTGGTGAGGAATTGTGTGAGATGTTGAGAGCCCCAGTTTGGTGGAATGAGAATTTGGAGGGAGTATGGTGGATGGTGGTTGGTTTGGTGGGCTCAGAGTGATGGTTGCTAATGATATTGGGACTGTCTGCTGAGAATGATGAAAGGAGAGATCCAATAACTGGTGTTGATGCGCTCCTCAGCAACATGATTGATATTCTTTGAAAGAAAGCTTTTTTTGCTAATTTTCCCTTTCTGCTCTGTAGATGAAAATTCTCTGCAAAATGACAACATAATATATATGAGTTACTGGAGTTGCATTATGAAGTTGCAAAATGGCAAATAAATTAACCCTTTCTTCTTCAATTATGCAGTTGCAGACACAAGAAAGAAAGTGCTATGTTTATAAAGGCAACATTTCTCTTCAGAAAAGAAAAAAAAAAAAAAAAAAACCACCAAAAGAAAGGCTTCAAAACTTACAAAAAAAGAAATAAGAGCAGGAGAG